AAGAAAGAAAGAAAGAAAGAAAGAAAGAAAGAAAGAAAGAAAGAAAGGAAGGAAGGAAGGAAGGAAGGAAGGAAGGAAGGAAGGAAGGAAGGAAGGAAGGAAGGGAGGGAGGGAGAGAAAGAGAGAAAGAAAGATACCAACCCAGCCACAAAACATTTTTTTAACTTTCTTTTTGTATTGTCATTTTTTATTTATTTTTTTACTATAATTACACTTTATTCACTTTGTATCCCCCCATAAGCCCCTTCCTCCTCCCCTCCCGATCCCACCCTCTCTCGCCCTTCTTCATGCATGCCCCTCCCCAAGTCCATTGATAGGGAAGATCCTCTTCTCCTTCCTTCTGATCTTAGTCCTTCAATTGATCCTGCCTACAAAATATGCTAGGACAATGGCAGCACAGAACTTGTGCGAATAGCCAACAAATATCTGATTTGACTTAAGGTCGACTCCACCAGAAGAAACCCATGCCTGACACTGCTTGGGTAACCAATAACCAGAGAGTAGACAGCCCAGAGACTTAGGGTAAACCCAAACACCACTGGTCTAAAATAAAATCAATAAAATGATTCCTAATAATATTCTGCTATACTCATAGATCAGTGCCTCATCTAGTGATCATCAGAAAGGCTTCCTCCTACAACAGATGGGAACAGATGCACAGACCCACAGACAAACATGTGGAAAGTCTAAATTAGAGGTATCCATCAAAATCCCTCCCCCTCAGAGCTCAGAGAATCCCATGGAAACAGACACAGAAAGATTGCAGAGGGGCTGCAGGACACTGGGAGAACAAGGCTCTCAGAATCAACTAAGCAAGGTATATATGAGCTCATATGGGTCTGCATGGGTCTGTAAGAGGTCCTCTGCATATGTTATAGCTATTAACTTGTATATAAGTTACTGTGAGAACAAGTGGGTCTCTGACTCTTGTGCCTGCTCTTAGGACCTCTCTTCCTCATGTTAGGCTGCCTGTCCAATTTTGATGTGATAGTTCTTACTTTACCTTATATTTTATTTTATCATGTTTGGTTGTTGTCTCTTAGAAGCCTGTTCTTTCCTAATGAGAGACAGAAATGAAGTGGATCTGGAGCAGATGGGAGGTGGGGAGAAACTGGGAGAAATAGGGGGAGAGGAAACTCTAAACCAGATATACTGTATAAAAAGGAATCTATTTTTAATAAAAGAAAAAAGAGAGAGAAAACAATAATGAGTGAAAAGCAGTTTATGCCAGGGAGGTGTGAATGTTCACTATTCAAAACTAATGTTGTGAGAAGAAACAGCAAAAAACATCTGGATAAATTTTAAAATTTATAAAATTTAATACTCACTTTTAAAATATTATGTTTATGATCATTATAATATTGAATCAGAGGTCCTAGAGTATCCAGAAAGACAAGAAAACTTAAAGAGAAGTAAACGAATACAAATAATTGAGTAAATCTAATATTTATATGTAATATGATTGAATATTTTAAACTGTTCAGGAGGGCATTCTTTTACACTGAGGATATTTCAGCCAACCTACTAGCTGTGTGATCAATACTATAGATAAACATTGATAATAAAATTCAACATGTAATAGGAAAAAAGAAACCCAAAATGAATAAAAAGAAAATACTAAATCAGAAAAAGATTAATTCATAGTTGAAAACTGTTGTAACAAAATATATCAATCATTATGGAAAAAACAAGAGAAACAACTAGAACAAAAAATAAATAAATGCACTGTATCAATGGTGACTTTATGAAGTGTGTACTTGGGCATAGCAATTCACTCCTAGGCACACATCCTAGATAGACTTGGTCACAGCTTGTTTTTTTTTTTCTTATCTATTTATTTATTATTAAAATTTATTAACTTCGTATCCCAGCTGTAGCCCCACCTCCCTCGTCTCCTCCCTGTCCCACCCATCCTCCCTCCTCTCCCCCTATGACCCTCTCCTAGGTGGAGATTAGCCAAATAATATAGGATAAACATACTCAGCTTGTTTCCAATAGAGAAAATACACAAACTATCAAACATCCCCCGATTCAAAAATCACAGGTTCAAACCAGACAGAATCCCAACACAAAGAGGAGGAAGAAGACAGGAAGTCCTGTCCCTAACCAAGAAGCTCTTTTCAACTGATAGCTGCTGGCAAAGGGAAATTAGTTTTTTTCCATTGGAATGTCACTGAGTATATCACCCACACTGCAGGGCAGGCCTCATGCCCAAGAGTAACAGACTCTGTGTATTGTTTTTTTGGGGTGTGTGTGTGTGTGTGTGTGTGTGTGTGTGTGTGTGTGTGAACTTTAGTTTTGTTTGAGATATTTTTGTCTTATTGTTTTTGTTTACTTGTCTTGATTTTTCACTTTTTTGTAGGGGGTCTTCTTTTTTTGAGAGGAAGGGAGAAAGAGAAAACAAAGCAGGGTGGGTAGGGAAGGAGGGAGGATCTTGGGAAAATAAGGGAAGAAAAGGAATGTGATCAAAATACATTATGTGAAAAAATTTAAATAAATAAAGAACATGAGGCTAAGAAAGTAAATCTAAAATTGACATATTAATAGGATGAATTATAAAATAGTACTAAGAACTACTATACAAAAAATACTTGAATAAAACTGATAATGCCCAAAACATGTTCTAAGATGATAAATAAGCTGCAAGGCGAGGCATTAAGTGTGCATGTGTGTAAGGCGGAGATAAAGTGGAACTCGCTTGTACCTAAAATCCTTTTTACTTCAAACCTGCTGAAGCAAAAGAGATAAGGTAGTAACGTCACCACAGCTGTGACAGAACCACTGGTGTTTATCATCAGAAACATCGAATGCATCGAAAACATTTCCCAACAAAAACATACTCAAACAGAAGCCGTAGAACTGGAAGCCGTGGGCTGGTAGCTGGCCACTCACACCCTAAGGAAGGGGAGCCAAGAGGGGAATTCTCAAAATCACAGGCCACTGTGAAGTCCATTTGGGTAGATTTCAGAGAATGGGCTTTAATTGTATCTTTTTAATTTGTTGTTGTTGAGAATTTCACACCTGTACTTTTTTCTACATAATTTTCACCCCATAATCACAGTCCAGCTCCTCCCATGCCCAGGCATGAATTGCCTTCCTATTGAGCAGGTCTTAGCAGTTAGATACCACTGTATTTGAACTAACAGACTCTGAGCTTCACACTGTTTTTTTTTTTTTCTAACCCCGTCTGTCCTCTAGGCCCCTTTCTTGCTCTATTCAGAGTCAGTCATGTAAACTCGCCTTTCAAAGACAGGACAACCTCACAACTGGCATCAAAAATCAAACTTCAGTGCCTCCGGTATCCCCATTGTTCCAGTGGGTTGTGTCAGAGGTGGGCTCCAAAGTGCTGGGTCAGACTTTGCAAGTATAAGAATGTATTAAAAGAGAGAGAGAGAGAGAGAGAGAGAGAGAGAGAGAGAGAGAGAGAAGAGAAGATAAATCTTTAACCCATCTGGATGAGACAGTGTGCTTAGTGGAAGATTTTTCAAGTACACCGTCGGCAGCCTTGGGATGCAGAGTCCACAGTCCACGACAGGCCGAGATTAATGTTGGAGTGAAACCTCACTGTCCAGCCTCTAGAGATGGGTAGATTTTCTTGCTAAAAACACAGCAAGGCATGGTTTGGGAAATACTCTTTATTGCATATGGTGTTTATGTGTTCGAGGGACTGTTGGTCTTTTCATCTTCCTTTACGCTATTGGCATTCTGTCTACTGCCACTGGGCTCTCGAGGGTCCTTTCTTCTTCCTGGGATTGAGAAAATAAATACAGGAGAACAGGAAGAGATGAGAAACGCCATGACTGTTGCTAGTCAATTACCCTCTACTTTTATCTTAATTCCACAGTCATGCACATACCACGGTGAGTTTATTTTCAGATCCACTGCCGCAAAATATAAGTTCTAGGATGTGCCCAGGTTTCTTGAAACCTCACTTTCATGTGGCTCCCTTTCTCCTCCCTACAGTTCCATCTTCTCCACAGGGCTATGTCTGTGAGCCAATGAGCCCTTAACTCAGACTGAAAAATTCCAGACCCGGACTCCTGGCCCTGCGGGATCCCCATCCTCTCTGCAGGCCATTCCTCCTCCCTGGAGTTGTGCTGAGCTATCTGCCTAGAGGGACAACACCATTTCATCTTAGAGGACAATCACGAAGGAACAGAAAAGGCTCCCAGTCAAAATTCTCCAGATTCTCACTGAAGTAAATACAGGCCAATTTCCCTAGAAGAGCTGGGTGCGCTGCCAAACAGCCCAGCACAGCCCTGCTCCCGGTTCTCTACACTTCCTGCTCTATTAACTCTCTACGCCTGTGGGCCTTACCTCTCCCAAGAGAAGGCCACCCCATCTTGCAAGTTCTTCTGGCCCAGGAATCTCAGTTGCTGTGTGGAAACCAAAATAAGGACACTTCTTAATGAGGAAAGGTGCTCTGTCGGCCCTTAGAAATGGTCAGAACTTTCTGCGGGAGCTGGAAAGCTCGGGACAAATTGCAACTTACAGTCGTGTAAGATTCCTGAGCAAGAAGCAGAGGGCCCGGTTAATCCCCCTTCCATCATTCCCGGAGCTGACAAACCGCCCTCTCTTCCCGGCAGAGTCGCAAGTCTGCAATCGGGCAGACCCAGCCTTTGCTCACTTCTGTCCTTTGGAGAATCAAACACATAGCCTGGACATTGGCTCCACGGCTTCTTCACACCAACATCTTCTGTGGTCTGCTGCCCCTCGGCCTTCCTTTCCTTGGGTTTCTGTTTTTCCTCGTTGCTGTCTTCCTCCTCCTCCTGGGTGCCCTCTGATTCCGCATTGCTGATCAGATGAGCCATGGTGAGATGGAAAACATGGCAGCTGAAGCCCTCCCTGATCCCGTACTGCACGTGCTCCTGGAGGCTCTCCACTGTGGGAAAGACCCTGCAGCAAGCCATGCACCGGAAGCCATTCTCCATGGTCACCAGCCAGTCGGGCGTCTTGGCCCTGGGTCTCTCCTCAACCACGGGTGATCCCGGTGGGCTGTCTGACTCTGGCTTTTCCTCGTGTTCTTTCTCTTCCCCACTGGGTTCGCTGTCCGACAGGAGGTTTCTGGTGGACACATCAGAGGGTGGAGTTCCTACCCACACACCCTCAGGGAGGGTGGCTTCTTCCATCCTTGGCTGCTTTTCTAGGGACTCTGAGGTTTCCTTTGTGTCCCAGGAGACAGCCACACCTTTTTTCATTTGCACCTGCATGTAATATATTTTCATCGCCCTGTCCTCTCTGTTTATACACAGAGAGGATTCACAAGTCTTATAGGATGGACCAGATGATGAGACATGTTGGGAGAGGGCAGTAGTCGCCTCTCCTTCTGGGACCTGGTCTAATGGCGATCTAGGCTTGGAACTGCCTTGTAATTTCCGGATTCCTGGGAATTGAAATTAGAAATATAAGAGCATCTGCAGAGAGAAAGCTGAGGAAGCATGAGCGACAGTACACGTGACACAGGAGAGGAGATCTTCGGGGGATAGGCTTGGATGACAAGTGTGGAATATACCGTTCATTTACAGGCTGTTGTATTTGCTGTGGTGTTTTATGTGTAAGAATATTAGACGGTGCGTACTTAGGAGCATGGAGTGTGTGAAGTGGAGGTAGAGGATGTATGCAGTGAAAATGGGATCCTGAGACATCATTGGGGTGGTCTTTGTGGAATGTGGGCTATGGTGTCAGAGAAGAGCACCATGGGTCATATATTTTCACCCTGTGCATGTACATACAAACTGTGTGGAGCACAGCTTTGTGTGAAGTCTGTGAGTCTGTGCTGGATGTGGTCCCACTACACTAATGTCTATGCTGAAGAAATACACAGAACTCTAAATGCAAATCCAAAAACAGAAGCCACACAATTCCTCTACAGATGCTTATCTGGTCCTTTCGCCTGCTGCCCCAAGCCCAGACCCTTCTAGCCACCATTTTATGACTTCTCACCAGGAATAAGTCACGAATCAGGGCCTCCTATACCAAACTCCAACTCCCTTGGTAGCTCTGAATTTTAGCTAGGCTCCTTTAGAAAGCCCTGGCCATCCCCAACTTCCCCTCAGCCTAATCCTTGAATTTGTATGCTTTCTATATGCTTTGTGCCCTGAGACCCACACCCAGAGTTTCACCCAAGAAGCCCCATACCCAAGGTGTGTCACACCCAAGGAGCCTCGCACCCTTGCTACGATGGATGAGCTTGTGTGGAGAAGAAACACAGGAGAAGTATTCGGATGCAGAGGAGACCTCCCCTACCCCTGGGCTCTGGGCTTTGGCCATTCCAGTGGATTCGGGCTGAGGGACATCCTCTTGTGACTTTGAAATTCCTGAGGAAGGTATAAAAGACACAAAGATATGGTGGTTGGACATGTCTGTACATAACTTACCCATCCAACAAATAATTACTTGTGTCTGACACATAATGATTATGATTAATATACATGGCTTGGAATCTGGTCCTAAATAGATAGTCTAGTACTTAATCACAACCACAAGGTTGTTTTTTTTTTTTTTCAGTGTCTTCATTAAGAATGTAAAGGTGAAGGCTGGAGAGATTACTCAGTGGTTGAAAGTACTAGCTATTCTTGCAGAGGACCTGTGTTTGACTCCCAGTGCCCACATGATAGCTCACAACTCTCAGTAGCTTCAGCCTCCAGAGGATCCAACACCCTCTTCAGCCTCTACAGGGATCAGACATGCACATGGTACACAGACATACATGCAAACAAAAGAAAAATGTATACATAAAAATAAGTAAGATTAATAAAAGGGTAACCGTGTTGTATATGAGGCAACCTTTAATAAATGTGAGGTTGATATGGTGAATACAGTAGAAATGAGGTCTCTAGGAAATCAGAAGTTAGGGAATGTGCAACTTTTCCTCTTTATAGGGTATAGCCTATGTCTGTGAAGTGTGTTTCTTTCTCTGAAGCAATAGTTAATAAGTAGCTATTATGTGTGAAGCACTTTTCTAGGCTCTGAGGGTAATGAACTGAAGTCCATCTTTGAGCTGAACTTTCCATTTTAGTCTTGGAAGGCAGCAGTGAGCAGAAATATGTACTAGGTCAGCCTATGGTGAGTATGTAAGGGTCACCAGATTTAATAGACAAAAAATGTCTGGTATACAAATCAATTGGAATTTCAATTAAGTCACAGACATATTTGTAAAGTAAATATGTCTATACAGTATTTAATACACATACATGCTAAACAATCATTTGTATCTTATTTGAAATTTAAATGTAAGCAGATAGTTTGTGCTTTATTTGGCAACCCTAATAAAAGGCACCGATGATTCTGTTTTGTTGTGATTAGTAGAAAGCAAGCCTGGTATTTTTACATGGATAGTGTGCTTCACATGTGACATACCATAACATGTGGCTGGAGACACATACGTACCCCACACACACACACACACAGTAGAATTTAGTGTGTGAAAAGAAAACTGCCACAGCATGGGCTGTGTATGCAGGGTAAAGAGATGGTGCAGTCATACAGCTGTGTGTTCTCGGAGTGCAGAGGTATGGGGCATCTTTCTGCATCAGAGCACATAAGGGACATGTGTGGCTAGCTCATGGAAGACCTTCTTGAGAGCTTGGCATACACGGTCACTCGCACTGACGTCAGCCAGCTCTAGGCGAGGATGCAGAAACTGTGCCCTCTGTACGCACAAACTCCACTGTTAGCGTCACCCTCCCACCCTCACACTGCTATTTCTCCTCCCAATAAGGACACCTTGAAAAAAAACACTCTACAATATGAGGGTTTACGGGGAAGCTCAATCCATTGCCTTCGCCTTCTGGTAGCTGCCAGAGAGAATTTGACAGCACTTTGAGTCACTGTTCTCTGAGCTCAGCCATGGTCTGTAGGTCCAGGACCCATGGAAGCTCCTGGGCTCTACTTTGTGCAAAAACCTCCATCTGGGCATCTAGATTGGGCTCCATTCTGCTCCATTTCTTACCTTTTCATAGCAAGCCACTTCTTTTTAAAATGTTTTGATTTATTTATTTTTATTGTATGTGCGTGAGTGTTCTGCATGCATGTATGTTTGTGTACCATGTAAATTCCTGGTGGCCAAGGAGCTTAGAAAAGGGCATCTGATCCCCTGGAACAAGAGCTATCGGCCCATGTGGGTTCTGGGAAGAGAACCCAGGTCCTCTTGCAAGAGCAGTAAGTCCTCTTAACACCCAAGCCATCTCTCCAGCCCACATGCTTCTTTTATTGTTTTTAAATTTAGTAATTGCTGTTACCATACATGTTAGGATACAAACCAGCAACTAACAGTGTCCTCTACTTCTTCTAGCGCCCCGGTGAGCTTCACCCCATCTGTTATGATCTTGCTCTATTATGAGGCCTTTCCTTTCCTTTGCATTTCCTCTGGAAAGTCTAAAACCTGTACATCCACAAACTCTAATAGACCGCTTAGAAATTCTTTCTACTCAAGGAACAAAATTTTCATGGTTTCAATATGGCATCAACCCTGACGAACTCTTAATCATTTGAATAAGCATTTTATTTGTCAGAATATTTCTCAACAAAGCCCATTAACCCACTAGGTTACTCTTTACACTTAGCCAAAAGACTTATTGAAACTCTCCTTTTTAGTAATCTCCATCACAGCTCCAACCCATTATTCCTAGGTGGGGAAACAAAAGCAATAAGAGATACGCATGCAGAAAGAGAGCTCAGAAAATATGCACCTCTGAGTCATATAGCTGGGACCTCTGCAAGCTTGAGGTCCATAGCTACAAATGCCAGTGACGAGGAAATGCCAGTGTCCAGGAAGGATGTTCATAAACAACACAACTGACTATCTTTCTGCCGTGGGTATCAGGACTCTTAGTTCTGTCTCACACCATGGAAACCCCAGAGATAGATCTGGCAGCATGAGCTGATAAGTGATCACTACCTCTCTGCTTCATCTGAATCCTCCTCAGTCACTCCATTCTAGAGGAAGCTCAAGCGGGCCAGCATCCCTTGTGCCCCTAGCCAAGCTGCCCAACACATACCTCCTGCCTTCTCATCAGTTTCCTTAGCCTCTTCAATTTCCAGATGTTTCCTCTTTTGTCGCCGTTTCATTGTGTCAGCTACAATAGTCCCTTAGAGGATACTTAAAGTCCAATTTGACCTTTTCCCTACAGGTTGGCTGGTCCTTTCTTTGGCCTTCAGGAAATCCGTTGAGACAATTCAACACAAATTAAAAATAATCCAGCCCCTTAAATGACTGAAGAACTCAGATTATTTAATCAAACAGCGGGCCTGTCCAGTGTTCACCACGCTGCATGGCTGTTAAGGGTCAAAGGTCACCAGGCCTACTGGAGAATTCTCAAAGATGACATCAGAGCATTCTATGGACCCCAGTCTAACACAGCCTCTGTGGCTTCTCTTTCTTCTCTACCTCACTCTGACTTCCTCTACCAATTTCTCTATATGATCTTTAAAGAATACAAGGAAAACATGCACCAGGCATGCAAATGCTACTCAAAGTCTCAAACCTAGATGTACACTTTAAGCTACAAACACTTGTCATTGTGGGTCAAGAATAAGAGAAGAGGAACACATAGACAGGAAGAGAAGAAGACACCACTCTATATGAATTATTGAAATGTTATGACAAAAATATACCAATTGTGATTTACCTGGAAATGCACACATATTGAAACTAGACCAGATAACTTTCCACACCCAAAAAAAATTGACACTATCAAGAATGTAAAAGAAGACACCACATACCCTATCGATATAAAAAAGTTGAGACAATAATATGATGTGTATACATAAATTTGATAACAGGAGTGAAATAGACCAACTTCTCAGAAAACACAATTACAGCTCATACAACATGAACTAAACTGCCTAGCCCTGTAACTATAAAAGAAGTCAAGCGTACGGCTGCTAACTTTCAAATGAAACCTCAAAAACCACGTGATTGCACTGGAAAATTCTGTGATGTGTTTTGAGAATAATTAATGTCAATTCTATAACAGCTTTTACATGAAAACAGTAGACTTCTCAGTTCATTTTATGAAGGCAGTAATACCCTAACCAAACAAGGCAAAGATAACACAAAATAAACTTATACCAATATTCTTCCTAGTAAAAATGAACAAAAAAAACCCCTCAACAAAGCATTAATATATAATTCAGCCATACGTTAAAGAAATAATACACTATAAAAAAAGTGAAGTGGTTTTCCAGGGATATAAGGCTGATTTAATATTTGAAAGTCACTCAACATAATTCATTATATGAGCTACCTGAGAATAGATAACACCTTAATGCTATAGTTTGGATGTGATTTGTGTTGGCCAAAGATTCATGTGTGAAAGGCATGGTTCCGGGGGTGGCAGTATGGGGAAGAGCAGACCTTTTAAGAACCTAGACTGAATGAAAAGGGCCCTGAGTCCCTGGGAAAATACCCTCAGAAGGGGCCAAAGTAGTTGGTATACAACTTCATGGTAGCTATGAGCAGAGGGATGAGCCAGGCACCAGGTTCTATAATTCCTGGTCGAGATGTTATCCTTCCCCTCACTTGCACTAGCACTGAGAAAGGGCTATCTCCTCTTAGGCCTTCAAGGAGGCCAAGCCAAGACCTCTTGATCCTAGACTTTGTATCACTAACATACAGAAGAAAGAAACTCTATTAATGGTTTGGCTGTATATTGGGTTGTACTAAGGTAAACTGGCTATGATTCATTGCAACTGGTACAGCATGTGACTTTTTAAATGCCATGCAAATATGAGTAGAAAGAAATTTCCGAACTTCATAATAATATCTGAATGAAATCTACTGCTAAGATTTCAATACTCTTAATAGTAAAGTATGGCACCTTTTGCCCCTTAATGCAAACACAGCAAATTTGTCTCTGCGGACTGCTCTTGCTGCTGATGTTCTTAGGATAAAGATGGAGGGTGTGGCCAGTCAGATAAGGCATGAAAGGGAAATCTACACAGATTGGGATGGGGGAAATGAAACGATTCCCATTTGCCAATATCATTGGATAACAAAAAGAAAAAAGAAAAAAAAAAAAGGAGACTCTAGGGAAAGATAAGCAATGCAGAGGGAATGAGAGAGGAAGAAAGGCAGCTGTGGAGAGAGAGAACTCCTAAACATATTTAAGAAAATTAATCACAGTGTAGACAATAAACTTAAAATCACCTTAGACTTCCTGCAAGTTAAAATAGGTACAAATGCTCAAGACACTAAAAAAAAAAAAAAAAAAAAAAAAAAAAAAAAATGATAACAAATGCCTATACTATACACAGCCTCCTATAGTCTTCTCTAGGCAACTTATGATACCTACTGTGATATTAATAAAGTGGAAATAGTTGTTATGAAAGCAAAAGTCATCATCGGTACATGGTCAGAAGTGATAATCTATCTTTGTGGAACTCACAAGGATAGAAGGCTGACTTCTGCTTGTATATTTTATCAGTGCACAGGTGAACATCAAAACCAAAATAATACCACTTACAATGCTTAAATAATGAAACAGTTATAAAATTAATAAATAATATGCAAGAGTGAAAAGTTATGAAACAGTTATAGTTCAACATAATAAAATGTAATTCCCTGAAAATTAATAGAAATATTTACTGTGATTCCTATCAAAATCCCAGAATAACTTCTGTAGTTACAGAATTGGTTTGTTTGTGTTTTTTTTAAGTCACGTGTAAAGGCAAAAGAACTAAACTAAGTAAAACAATTTTGTGCATGAATAAAATTTACCCTGTTTTAAGGCATTATTTTCTACAATAATCAAGACTGTGTGATATTGGCCAAGCTATGGGCACGTAATTCATTTGAACAGAATAAAAATTGCACAGATAAACTACCAAATATAGCAAGTGATTTTTGACAAAACTGCAAAAGTAATTCAACAGGGAAAAGGTAGCCGTTTCAATAAATGGTGCTGAAGCAATTGGATACCCATAAGAAAAAGAAATGAATGGTCATCCAAGCTTCACACTTTATACAAAAGTTAACTCTGTGCACTGGCGGAATTGCATAAAGCTAGTAAAGTAATAGATCATGGACTCAGAATAAAACTACCAAACTTTTAGGGAAGAAAATGAGAAAACAACCTTTAATATGCAGGAGTGCATACTGCCATTTAGCTTTCAGTAAACCTGAAACTAGAAATATAATACATATGATTAAAATATGACCAAACTAGGCTGCACCAAAACTAAAGTCATGTGCAATGAAAAAAAAATCCCATTAATAGTGTAAAAAGAGATCTATAGACTCGATAAAGTATTAATATCTATAATACATTGTTTAAATGTCTCAAAGCACAGCCTTTAACTAATTCAGTTTGAACACAGACAAAAGGCACAAAGAAACAAACTTCTAGGGATGGGCCACACATAATCACATGAACTGCTATCAATATCATTGGCCACTAGGAAAATGTGCACTTCAACCTTGGTGAGACATCCATAAGAAACTATCAAACAAACATCCTAGCAGCGATGGCGTGTGCAAACAGGAGTGGACACGCTAGATCTACTGTACATTGCCAGGAAGAACACCAAATAATACCTTCAGAAAAAAATCACGATTTTAAAAATTAATGTAACTACCAAGTGTCCCAGCAATTGCCTTTCCTGGGGATTTATCCCAAAGAAAGGAAAAGCCTATATACACACCAAAGTGATCTTATTAAAAGATGCTTATAGCTGGTAGTCTGTAATAGCCCCAAACGGGAAACCTCCAGCGGGAATGCAGTGAACCAGCAATGCGCCCATACTGTGAAACGCTACTCTAAAATCCCAACCACTGGCCTTGGATGAATCTTCAGAGAATTAGGCAGAAGGGTAAGGGAGAAAGGCGATCCAGAAAGCTTATATGCTGTCATTCTATTTATGAAACAGTACTAAAATGACAAATTAAAAAAGAAAAATGGCTAGTGACTGCCCGTGGTTAAGAAAGGGACAAAGGGAGGCAAAGAAAGTGGCCAAAGAAAGGTCTCTGAAGTTTTTAATTAGGGGCCAGAGTGATGACTCTGTGGTTAAGACCACTTGCTTTTTCAGAGGACTTTGATTTTGTTCCCAGCAGCCACAACCATAACTCCAGTTCCAGGATGTGTGATGTCTTCTTCTTACCCCTGTGGACATGTACATGATGAGCAAATATGATACAGACAAAGTACACATAAAATAAATTAAAATACTCTTTTTTTAGTTTGCTTTTTATTTAGGAAGGACCTTCTTTTTCAACTTATCACGTTTGTATCAATCAAAAAGAAGCTTACCCATTCAAATATAGAAAAAGAGGTACTTCATCCAAATCTCGGTGGCTTGCAATGAGTTTGTTTGATCTTACTATGTGCCCACTATCAGTTAGCCAGGAATTCTGCTCTTCATCATCCTTACTCTTAGACCAAGATTGACAAAGCCGCCTCTGTCTGGGAAACTGACAGTAACCTTGCAAAAGAAAAGACAAGAAATACGATTGACCAGTCTGCATATTTATAAACTAGATCTAAATTTATCTGCTAGATCACATTTTAAAAACCTTTCACTGTACCATGCATTGTTAGGGTTTATACACAAGGACGGTGCCCTTGTTTGGTTTATTGTTTTCATAATAAATTCAGGAAGGAATATCTGGAAGTCGTTAAAATACTTGACCCTTAAACTGAAAAGAAACAGGAGCATAATTTCACTTCCTTTCTTCAGAAATGATGGAACTGGTAAAAGTTATTTATCTGTGAGGCTTTTATGGTCTGAATACACAGGAAACAATGTTTCTAAGACTTCAAGGAATGGCAGAAGAACTCTTGATTCACACCTTGCTATTTCAATTATCTTGTTGACACTCTAAGAACCTGAGTAACAGCGGTGGCTGCAGCCACATAGTGTTAGCTGAGATAAAAGTGTCTGCAATTGCACGGCAGCCTCTGCAAAGCCACATGGGAAGGTGAATGTTTTGTCCTCTCCCGTTTGCCCATACGTCTGTGCAAAGAAACAGATGCTTCAGAAACATTTATGCCAAATAGTTTTTCTGTTATTACTTTAAAGATAACGTGAGTGCCAAACATTTGCTCCTCCATGATGAAAAGCAATACATCTGC